AGACGAAAGGTGTTACTAGATATCATTGACTAATGAGTAACTTTTGAACAAACGATCTTAATAGTTCCAATACAGTATACATGTACTGCTTGTATCAAACAAGTTTAGTCTAGCATGTTGGACACACTTACTTTTTATTAGTGTATAATATTGGATTAAAGTTTCCAATTAAGATGGGAAGAAAATTTTCTTTTCCATGGGACAACTATGACAGGAGATTATAGTAGCACTAGCCAAAATAAAAAAATAATTGTTGGAAAAATATATATATTGGCTGATCATTATATTGTGGTCCATATTGGTATTTAAAAAAAAGGAAAAAGTCCGATCCACAAAGCATCCTACATCACGATTATACCAGGATGTTTCATTTCCTCTTCATCAACTTCCATTTGTATTCATTATGTATTTTTTTGTTACTTTTTTATTACTTTCGAGTACAAGTGCATGTTTATCCATTTTTCGTTTCGAACAAAAAATTATTGAATAAATATTATTATTATGGTACAAAAAATTATTTAGTGATTTTATCTCGATTAAATTAGAGTCATTATTTGAACAAACTTTTCTTTTGTAGGGAAACTTCCTTTGCCTTTGAAAATCACTTTCATTCAAATGTCACCTATTGTGATAAGTTTGGTACTTTCTAATATTAATATAATATAGTAATATATTGGACAATTGCTTCAAAATGCTAAGATTGTAACCCTACAACATGTCATCATAATTGAGAGTGGTCCAAATATTCCAAAATTTGGTCCTACAGAACAGGTTGATTGGAACACATACAACCCAGCTACTTTTTCCCCTTATCTTGTAAAGGTTTGATATCCTCAAAATAGTATTGATTAGACGGTGGGGGCGTGTTTGATCATTCAATATTCTACTATGATCAGAATTATTTTAACCTCCTAAATAAATTAGGATATTGTTACTTGAACTCAACTCAAATATTATGTGTATCTAAATTTAATGTGCATTGTTATTATTATTATTATTATTATTATTGTTATTATTATTATTATAATTATGTACATTGAATATAGCCAAATACATATTCTAAAATTATTTAGATAAGCATATTATGAAAACTATAATAGTATTATATTACATGAAAGTAATAGTGTGTTATATTATATTATTGATAATATATATGATGAATATAAACAATGTAGAGAAAATTTACTATAATTATGGAATAGATATTAATTGTAATTTCATAAAGAGATTGAAATGTCAAATATTTTATAAATTTATGAAATATACATAGAGAGATCAAAATCAAATATTCTAATTTGAGAAATACGCCATAAGCGAACCTCAAATCATGAACAAATATGGTATAGAGATAAATATCTTATGAGAGAAGAATCAAGGGAGGAACGAAAATAATATATGCATAATTTTTTTTCTATTTACAAACCAAACAATATATAAATAAAATGCATAAATAATCAAATGCATGCACATTTTTTCGAGAAAATTAAAGGAAAGGTATCAAATAAGTCTCATTTTTGTTTTTGATGACAGATTGACCAAGAGCTGGTCAAATCCTCTTTAAAATGTAATTAACTAATTATGAGATCAAATTAACATTTTCAAAACTTTCTAATCTTTTATAAAATACAAAAAAACACACTTTTATAACTCAAACCAAATCATTTAAAAGAAAAAAATCTTTTCATCTTCCTTCCTCTCTTCTCTCTCTTCTTTTCTTCCTCCCTTGGGGGATTATTCATCTTCTTCCTTAGAAATTCAAAAATTCTCTATGCTGTGCCTGATGGTCCCGCTCCGTCGCCGTCCCCCTGAGTTTTGTATTGCTGAAACATATAACTTAGCATCAGCAAGAATCCTCCACCCAGGCGTCCTTTGTCTACCAAGCTTTCGTATTGCATCCTCTCAATTTTCTGCTTAACCCAGGTATCGAAATCATCATAACCGCGCCTTAGTCTTTCCACCTCTTGAGTCGCCTTCTCAAGAGTATCTTGGTTCTCGACAAACTTAGCGCACACTTCTTGGCCTCTTTTTTACCTGTTGTAGCTCAGCCACTGCCTTGGCTTCTTTGTCTGTAATGCTGCAAAAGCTGCGTGGGGTTGGGGAGGACATACTTTGTATGTCTTTTTTCAACCATTTTTTGTAACCCTCATCGTATCCAGCTTTGGATCAGTCTGGGGAGATGGTAGTTTTATCCATTCGCTTGGCACTTTTCCATTCCCTGAACATTTCAGACGTGTCGTGCACTCTATCATCTCTAATATCATATACATAAGCTCCATAGTACGCCTTCTTGGGTACAGTTTGTCTCCTCCCGAACTGTTGCAAGACTCGAAAGGATGCATTCGATGTCCCTCATTACACTTTTCCAAGGCTCCATACATGTCGGACAGGATGACCAGAGCTATAGGGTAGTATTTTGTTATTCCTCGGTTCTCGTTCCCTTTGAATAGAGTGTGCGTGAGTGTTATAACTCGAGTATTGAAACTCAGACTTGGGCCATGCGGAAAGACCATCGTTCCTAACAACGCTACAACAAATGTTAGAGGACAAATTTTGTTCCATTCTCTGTAAGAGACCTTGAACTCTCGGTTATAAATGGCGTAGAAGCTCGCATGTCAAATGTGATATAAAGATCTCTGAATGCTATGTGGGATTCTTGGCACTAGTAGACAAAGTCTTTCTCCGATTCGAGTCGGTCCGCAATATCTTCTATAAAAGGTTTATTAGGGATGACAATGTCTTCTTGTTTCCTTGCCTTTCTTTCTATCCCAGTACTTACTGTGTCTATGCAGTCTCTGATCTCCTCCAAAGTCAGGGTAATTTCAACGGTTCCAAATTAGAACACCATTCGTTGGCTATCCCACCCAATATCCCGTGAGGACCTCAACTAATTCTGATCAACCGTTCATGTTGATCAATTCTGTCAATGCATCCACGTATTTGTTGAGAGTTTTTTTATGATTTACATCGAGATTATTATACCACATTGTGAGTTGAGGTGGTGCTGCTATGACCACGTCAAACTTTGGGAAACGATCCATATCAACAAAATAGAAACTAGTTAGGTTTACCCACCCCAAATTGCTTTTCACACGTACATAATTCAAATGTTAGATAAAATGATGTGTCGTTAGGTCGGAGACCTTAGATACAATTTTGGTGGGTTTCTACTAAATAGACTTAATACAGCTTGGATATTAAGTCATCTTAGGCTAATGCTTAATTTTTGGTTTTGATTTCGTTCTAGCTTAGTCTTACTAGAATAGATTTCAAGTTGACGGTTACCCGAGTCGGACAAACCTCGGGGTGAAGCTACCAAACAATGTCGGATGACCGCATTCCAACTATTTGTTTGATACTTCTAAATGAATTTTTTTGTGTATTTCTAAAGAAAGCCGTGGAAAGCCACATAACTTTCGTTTTCCTAATGCATTTATTTGTCCTTTGACGGAAAAATGTCATGAAAATGCAACAATTAAACAATAAGGTAAAGTAAATAAATAAACAAATATTACAAACAGCCAAATAAAGTTAGTTTTTAAAGTTAGAATCCTCCAATCTACCCAGCAGAGTCGCCATTTCTGTTTTATCGAAAAATATTATTTGTTTTGAAAATTTTTTACTTTTAGAGTCGCCACTTAATTATTGAGAAAAATCAAGAAAAATAACGTTTCTAAAAGACTTATACAGATAAAATCATTTGAAAACATTTTTTAGGGGAGTCCTGGATTCACATTAATATTTTAGGAATGTGTTAGGCCCCTAAAATATCCGCTAACTTGCGGTTATCGATAACTAACTTAACTTGGCTAAAATTTAAAATTGTGATCAGATATTTCTTGGAGTTGTTTGAAAATGAATGTCAAAAATCATTAAGATTGTTTTGAAAGTGAAAAATTATTTTTCTAAATGAGTTTTAATTTGTAAAATCTTTTAAGCCATTTACTTTATTTGATCGAATCGTTAAAACTAAAGTGGCGTTTTGTGGGGATACGGATTACTCTAACTTTAAACTAGCGACAAACAAAACAACAAATAATTGAAAAACATATAAAGAGGGAGAGAGATTTGGGTCCAAATCTTGATTTTCTGTTCGCCTTGATCAGAATTTTGGACCCACCTATTTTGGGTTTTTGACCCATTTGACTTTCTTTCGTACCTGTGCTAGACTAAATGATAATAAAAAAATAGAGAATATAGAAAAGCAACAAGGGCTTATGCCCAAAATAAATACAATGCGATAATTTAAAAATAAACTTGGGTTAATTGCCCCAAGTTTTTCAACTCTTCCAACTTGTTTTGAATTCTTCAAATTCTAAACATTTTGACATCCATTCGTAGGTTTGGGTGACAGATTGACTTGATAAGGAATTTCGAGCCTTGATAGTTCTCTCTCGAAATGCAGAGGGAAGGCGAGAGTTCATAGCGAACTCGAATGATATCACATATACAATAAAAGAAAAGAGAGAATTAACAAAGAAGCCATAAATTCAACGTCATGCAATTAATTGAAAGTATAATAACATATGTAGGTAGTGAAGGTGAATGTAAATATAGAAGGAATCATCACTAAGGTTACAATTGAAAGTAATTAGCTTAAAAGTAGTTAAATATAAGTAAAGATCATCGGTTGTATAAAAAAAGACATTCTGTAAACTAATAAAGCTATAAATAACCTTAACGATAATAAACATTAAGCAGTAAAATGAAGAAGAAAAAGAAAAAAAAAATTTACTAATTTGTCAGAATGAGGTAACGCCGATGTGAGAATTATTATAGATAAATAGATTCAATATATGATAAATCACAAACAAAACTAAAAGACCTAATGAACTAAATTGTTGACGCCAAAATTGATAGGCAAACGTAATTTATGAAAAAAATATTTTTTTTTTTACCAATAGACAAAATTATTTTTTTTTCTAAAAAAAAGTAAAAATTTTAATTTAAAGTGTGGCCATAAAAGTCAAGAACTCCAGCCGATGTTTTTTTGGGCTATAAATGCATTTCCGATACAACAGCTTCAACACTCACAATACTTCCTCACATTTCTCCATTTCTTCTCTGTAAATTCCGGCGACCGGAAAATTTTCACGATGGACGTTCGCCGGCGAGCTGTAAAACCCCTTGACGCTTCCAAACACATTTCCTCCGGAGAACCTCTCAGACCCCATAATCAAGATTCCTCTGTTAAAGCTTCAGATGCTCTTCCATTACCGTTGTATCTTACAAATGGTTTGTTCTTCACCATGTTTTTCTCTGTCATGTATTTTCTTCTACACAGATGGCGTGAGAAGATCCGTAATGGAATTCCACTCCACGTGCTCAACTTTTCTGAATTAGTTGCTATCTTTTCGTTGATCGCTTCAGTTATTTATCTGTTGGGGTTCTTTGGTATTGGGTTTGTTCAATCTTTCGTTTCTAAAGGAAATAATGATTCTTGGGACGTTGAAGATGAAACCCCAGAACAATTTATTGATACAACTGTTACATCACCACCTGTTCGACGAAATATCCCAATGAAATCTGTACCTGTTGATGAAAAAGATGCTCAGATAATCACACCATTTTCGTTAGAGGACGATGAGGTGATTATCAAATCGGTGGTGGAAGGGAGAATACCATCATATTCATTGGAATCTAAGTTGGGTGACTGTAAAAGAGCTGCTTTTATTCGAAAAGAGGCGTTACAGAGGAGTTCAGGGAAGTCATTGGATGGGTTACCATTAGATGGATTTGATTATGAATCAATTCTTGGACAGTGTTGTGAGATGCCAATTGGGTATATTCAAATACCAGTGGGAATAGCTGGACCTTTGCTGCTTAATGGGAATGAGTTTTCTGTGCCAATGGCAACCACAGAAGGATGTTTAGTTGCTAGTACTAACAGGGGTTGTAAAGCCATTTATGTTTCCGGTGGCGCTACCAGTGTTTTGTTTAGAGATGGGATGACTAGAGCTCCTGTAGTTAGGTTCGGCAGCGCAAAGAGAGCTGCAGAGTTGAAGTTCTTCGTCGAGGATACAATGAATTTCGAGACTCTATCTGTTGTATTCAATAAGTGAGTGTTCTCGTTCTTCGTGTTCAAGTTTTGATTTTTAATATGCTTATACTCATTTTACTGCATATATCTTTTGCTATGAAGCTAATAGAATCATAGTAATCCCTTAAATTTGACTTATATATCATAATAGTTATGAAAAGTATTAAGTTATGGTTAAAAGTATAGAAATATCATCATATTCAAGTCCAGGAGTTGAATAGCTTTATAAATGTAAATTCTTGAAAATAGTATAAAGTAAAATGTATATACTCCCTACGTTTCAATTTGTTTGTCTTGCTTTCCTATTTAGTCTGTAACGGCTCTTTCATTTTTTGGCAACTCGTTAATTCTAAGGGCATTTTGGTACATTCGACATTTCTTTAGTTCACGTGATTTATAAGTTCTTTTTCTCTCTCTTGAACTCGTGTTAGTCAAAATCAAGCAAACGAATTGAAAGAGAGTAGTATTTTGCTTTGTAGTTGATGAAAGTTACCACGGAAGTGTTCAAACAGTATGGTAGATGAGAACATCTGAATCTTCCCTTCTTTCTTCTATTGTTGACTAATATCTCGGACATCTTCTCTTAATGTGTTTTCCTTTTGAAGATCGATTGATGTTGATATGTTCAGTGAATGAAGCCATTTTTTGTTTCTTTATGATTTTATTAGATTTGTCTGTTACTTCAATATCTGTCATTTTCGTTTCCTTGGATGAATCGAATGATTTTTGGAATCAACATGTCATCATTCTACAACCAATACTAGTTGTATAACTTTGTTTTTGATTTGGACTTTACAGATCAAGCAGATTTGCCAGATTACAGAACATTCAATGTGCAATAGCTGGAAAGAATCTATACATGAGGTTTAGCTGTAGCACTGGTGACGCGATGGGAATGAACATGGTTTCCAAAGGTGTACAAAACGTTCTTGATTACCTTCAGAATGAGTACCCCGACATGGACATCATTGGCATATCTGGTACTCCACCTACCTTTTTCTAAAAAGAAAAATCCTTTTTGATACCCCATGTTCATTGGTTTTTCATGTATACTTGATTTACATACTACCTAATGCCAATGTAATGTAACGACAAGCCTCAACTACTGCACACCTAATTTATTTTCTTCTTTTTATCCCCATGATCTGTAGACACTTATTAATTGGAATTGTTGAACTATGACAGGGAACTATTGCTCGGACAAGAAACCAGCAGCAGTTAATTGGATTGAGGGGAGAGGAAAGTCGGTAGTTTGTGAGGCAATCATCAAGGAAGAGGTGGTGAAGAAAGTTCTGAAAACTGAGGTTGCTGCTCTAGTTGAGCTGAACATGCTTAAAAACCTCACTGGCTCTGCCATGGCTGGTGCACTTGGTGGCTTCAACGCCCATGCCAGCAATATTGTCTCAGCTGTATATTTAGCCACTGGCCAAGACCCGGCTCAAAATATTGAAAGCTCTCACTGCATCACTATGATGGAGGCTGTAAATGATGGCAAGGACCTCCATATATCCGTCACCATGCCTTCAATTGAGGTATGCATTAAACATGTTGCTACTTATCGTTATATTCTTGGTACACCGTCTTTCCACCCCCAAACTTTTACATGTGACGCTTTTAACGATATCATTTAATGGAGTTTTAAATCAACTATGCGTCAAACCCCAAGGAAGTTATAGCTGTCTATATGAGTCCTTTATGCTTTT